GGCTTACGTAAATACTGTTCCGACTACTGCTTTATCAAATCTTTCATTGAAATTTCACGCTTTTGTAATTTTGAAAAAAGTTTTTTTTGTACTTTTGCGTTGTGTTTATAATTGACCTTGACTTGTCATTAGAATCCTGAAATAAATTTATTTAGCAAAAATTTCTGTTTTATTAAGAGTGTGGTCATTTCTATGATCGACTGGCCACATTCATGGCCAGGAAAAAATTTGGTTGCTCACCCATGATCTAATCAAATACTTTAGAGAGAAACCAGACATTGAAGACTTCAACATAATAGACTCAGCGACAAATGAATGGACGCTAAGGAAAAAAGGATTGTTTTAAATTTCGCGCAAAGCTACACGAGGGCTATCTGCGCTAGCCATCCGTAATTTAGCTTTAAAAGGCTAAAGGGAAAGCAGCTAGTCATCACCACCCACGGCCAACTCTTGGGCTACTCTTTTACGAATGCATAGTGGGATTGACCGTCACATTATAACGTCCCACACGGCTGAACATATTTGGTGGGACGGGGATTCGAACACGCAACCCTCACATTGCTAGTTAAGTGCCCTAACCACCTGGCCATTCCAATTCCAGGCCAAGGAACTAAAGGAAGCGCTATATTAAATTCGAAATAGAAAACCCAAACTGAACAACCAGCTGACAACACCACATCATCTCAAACTAAGATAAATCTATTGTGCCCGAGGTGGGCAGAAAATGAAAACTTTCATCAAACAATGAAATAACTATTTTAAATACATATAACTATGTAGCCTACCTAGTTAAAACTTACATTAATCTACTAGGATGATTTACTTTTGGAGGCCACCACGTGGCGTGCAAGTTGACTTGATAGGTGATGGTGCCTACAAATTAGTTAGATTCGACAATTACCTACCTCGGTCTCAATGTCTAACGATTTGTCTTTTACTGTAAGTTAATTGATCCACTGCCCGTTGCCATGACACGCCTTCTAATGGTATATAATGATTACGACGCCACACTGCAAATAATTTCTTTCTTTTTTTTACACGATATTCCACACCCAGCTTGTAAGGTCTTTACACTAATATGACGTAAAGATACGCCTATAATTATTTTAAATTTTTAATGTAATCATTTTTCCACTCACACAGTATTATTCAGAGAATTTATAATAAATAATGTGACATTATTGGTAGTCTAACATCATAACCACTATACATAATACAGTGTTATTATAATGGTAACTAGAGCCCTCTAATATCCATATATATTGGGTGAGAAGGACACATACGAGAACCAATACAACAGTGAAATTAACGTGAATTAAATGTCACTATTATTAGAAAGCACTGTGTTTTGTACAATTCACACAAGTGTTTTATCGGTTGCACGTAGTAAAACTTTTTTTGTCATCCCTATTTAGTGTGTTTTACCGTTCATCCCAAGCTTCTCTCACGTTATTACAAAAACCTTGTTAAAAACAGTCGGTGAGTATAAAATTGGCATTAAAATACAATTACGAATTAATAGTTTTACCTGGAAAACATCTAGGTCAAATGCTATCCAAAAAGTATATTGATAATTATACTTCAGGAAATGTGTGTATACTGAATGTATGTATTGCAAAAGCTATTATATTGGTGAGACAGACAACTTTCTACTCGTTTGCACAAACACTTAATTTTAAAATCTCCAACTCATCATTACTCATGTTTTTGAACACATATCTAGAAACAATCATTCTTTTGATTCTTCTAAGGTAAAAATCCTCAGCAGAGAAGACAACATTGATAGATGAAAAATGAAATAATCTAGTGTTAGTGTTAATACAAAAACATAACCCTATTATTAACAAATACAAAGGTGTTCATTTATCTTTATTTTAATCGCTCCCCTGTCTTTTGTATATAGAACGAATTTCAATACTTAGAAGTTAGACACAGGCCTATGACAAGAGGTTTACTTATATATTCATAAATTTGACAGTAATTGACTGCTTAGTCACACGATTGTTGAATTAGTAATATAAATACTACTGTAAATGTTATGGATTCTCCCGTGATTTCTTTTTTTTAAATGAATTTTTGTTAGCCTCAGTTCTTGTAAGTTGTATCTTACCTGCTGATGCCAGGTAAACCTGGTGAAACATTGTGAACAAAATAAACATAATTTTTACTATGTACAACAGATAAAAAAGTTGAGTGAAAGTAACGTTTCAAACTACAAGTGTTACTAATATTAATATTACATTAGTACTACTACTAGTACTAGCAACAGTGTTAGTGTTAGTAAAGGCAAGTGTTAGGCTCTGAGTCTGAGAAATAGGTGATTGCTCCAGTGATGGAAGTAAAACTAAAAATACCGAGTCAAGTTGTAAGACTAACTGTAAATTGTAATATACATAAAAATATTATATATTTACACTCCATATCATATTATCATGTATAATAAATTTTGTGCTCTTCTCAATTTGAATTTGATTGCAAGTGGTAGTAAAATTACGTTTTTGAACTAAAATTAAAAACCCTGTGAAGATTTATCTTTAAAAACACCTGAATATTTGTTATTTTAGGAAAGTTGCTTTTTTTTACATACATGGTCTTGATAATGACAGTTGCTCTCTAAAGATCATACGTATTCAGTTCAGTTGTAACATCACGTCCGTTGTCCCTTAATACTTCAAACACAAACACTGACCGTTAGGCCTTCGTACTGCACTGGTGTCTAAAACTGTGAGTTTCCTGTGTCCTGCCGCTCAAAACCTGGAAACCTGCCAAACAGATATAACGAAACTCCATTGGCTGCCTAACGTAAGCCATTACCATTACAAGTGGTAATGACGTTCTGCAGCACAACATTGTTAGACGCTTGGCTCAAGGACAGTTTCTCTTTCTGCTAGCACATTTTAAATACTGAGCTGTAACCTCTGTGTCCAAAAACAACAAAACGCTGTGAGACTGATACTTACCCGGCCTTCAAGGCATTATACACATCTCATTTGAAAGCATGTGTGAAGCTAGAAGTGATCAGCTCTTGTGAACTAAATAGCAAGACAGTGGGGGCCCTCTACTGAGTGCGAAGTTGTTTTTGATAATAGGGAGTGGTAAGATGCTATCTTCATATTTTTTATAACATGTTCGTCATGTTTCCCCGCGTATTTATTTGGAAAGAACTCGGACTCTAGATTGGCTTGGGTACGAACTAGTTGAGTTACCAATAACTCATCATCAAAAAGACTTAGATTTTGGTGTTTACATTGGCAAGCAAAATATGTGACATTAGTACCTAACAGAGTTGCTTACATCAGCAAGTCAAAAGGGTGGGAAGATGTTGTGACTGCTCCAATCTTTACGTGACCATTAATAATCCGTGAATGGTTTATTTCCACACTATTCGACTCCAGTTAACAAGATAGTTAAAACTGGTAAATCTCAAACTGTTTTTTCTTACTATGTGATTGGTTGACAAAGATGAGAGAGTGTCAGTACAACATCCTCCTCTCTGAAAACAGTTACTAGTACATCCCTCTAAAGATGAAAAAGTGCTTGTGTGTAAAGTCCGCAAAACATAGTCAAATTTTCCTGGTGGTTACGCTATAAGACATAACTCAAGCAAAAACAGAAATAAGATATGTAAGTTCATTAGTGTTTCACGAATAAAAATTACTTATCCCAAAGACTTCTAAAATATTCTCACGGGCTTTTGAAGCTTCGAATGATGATTAAGATTAATAATATCTAGAAAATGGTCTAGGACACAACACAAACGTTTTCCAAATAAATGAATCTTTTGTGTGTCAGTGGGGGTAAAAAAACTATGTAATAAGGTTCTGTTGAAACAAGGAGACAAGGATATTTTCCAATGACAACTGTAGCAAAAGTTGCATTTCAGCTGCTTTGAATGTTCAACACCAAGCTGTAAAAAAAAAAGAACTAAACTGACGCTGTTGGGCTAGTTAGAGCTCTGAATTTAGAAGCAGGCGAGTGGGGGTTCCAATCCGTTACGACAACATATTCCTCGCACTTTAAGTCGAGTGTGCGTTATAAGAGTAACGGTTAATCCATTCGTGTGAATTATAGCTAGTAAGGGTGCTTCTGACTGCCTTCGCTCTAATCAGTTGTTCAAAATTAGGGACGACGTAGCTTTGCCATAAAATATAAACTGAAAGTAAAATAACTTTTATATCCAGCATGGAAGATTTGTATCGATTCTTCTTTAAAGACACCTAACAAGCTCCTTACCTTTCTCTAGTGGCATGTTTAGCCTAATTTTTAATGTTATTTTGAAATATTTATTTATTAAATAGCAGAGCTGGTGTTTAACCAAAGAACTTCCGACAGGGACCACATACACACAATCGACTTTTTTAAACACATATTTTTTTTTAGAACTAATTGTGTTCCAATTGTTTGTTAGTCAGGAGTATCGGATTAGATATGAAACACGAGTGAAATGTAGACAAAAAATACCACCGATATTGCAGTTAATACCACGAACTACTGCTGAGTAGTTTTTTTTATCCACTTCTGAGTGTTGCAACAAGCAAAAACAAAAATCATTCAATATGACTGAAGTGTATATATTCTGCAACAGGTTTCCCTTGAGTGATAGATTATCACAATAGTATTTATTTAATTAGCAAGGTTTGTTAAGCATACATATTACCAACTGGAGGGGACTTACAGGGAAACAAGGGAAAGGTAAATCAAAATAACACATAACGTTTATTAATAAATTATTATCAACTTATTGTTCAATTTAATATTTTAATATGCTTCTTTATACTTTTACAAAAGATTTAAAAATTTGAGCTGAAAAAAAAACGTTTTTTATTGCAATACTAACTGGAGTACCCATCCCCTGGACAGAAGTTATGTAAATTCATGATTAATGAATGGTTATCTTAGAACATGAAAATTTGCTTCCCTTATATGTAATTATAGAAAACGCCCATAAAAACCGCAAAACATAAAATGTGAAACTGTAACTTTGCATGTATCTCTGCATGGACCCAACAAACCTTCATGTCAAATTTCGTGAAGATTCATCAATAGGGGGACGAAGTAGTGGTAAAAAACGCCCAAAAAACCGCAAAATGCAAAACTGAAAATGTGTATGTACACCCACATGGACCAAGTGAACCTCCATACCAATTTTGGTGAAGATCCATCCTTACCCTGCGAAGTAGTTACATGGTCATACAACAGACAGTACTAATATATTTATATAGATACATCGGCCAAATATATTGTTAGATTTAATGCTAAATCCGTGTGAGGGGATAATTTAATTTAAACCTTTAGATTAAACGTTCCTTCAATGACCAATATCTGATTGCACAAATGTTTTATATAATGTGTTTCACTGGAAATGAGTGGGAAAGGATCTTTTCCTAATATGGTCTGGAATTCTGTTTCGAAGGTCACACTGATTGTTTATACATGTGAACCACGTGCTAGCAGTACAACTAGTATATGTCTGGTTTTCTTCAGCCTCTCCGAAGTAGTCTCTCAATAACAGCTTGCTTCCACTAGCTAGTCTGGAATGTACTGACTCTTTCTGTTCATTGTCCGTTTAATAATGCGATCCTCTCTGCTACCAAAGTTATGTTTTAAATTGTAGCCATTACGTTACTTATGATTTACAGACTACGGGCTTTACTAGATTTGTTATTGATGTCCTGACAACTGGACAACTTGTTTGTGATGTTAAACTTTCATAGGATTATCTAATCCAATAGTTCTAAACTTTTTTTTTTTTTGCATCAGAACCCATTTGGCCAGTCGCGACCAATAAATAGCTGTCACAAAAAGCATCGTTCAGTATAGTCAGAGTAGTTAAAATCTACTTTAAATAATTAGGAATTCTACTTCAGTTAAATATGTGTCTATTTGTTTAAATTCTAGTATTCATTCGTTCATCTTGTATCCTAACAATTGAACGTCTGAATTTGGTTATTAATTATACTTGTTTTAAGACATTAGTATTAGGCCTATTATATTTTAACCCTACGTTCTTTATTCAATCACTTAGGGTTTTTCAAGTAGAAGAAGAGTGTATATTATTTTTCAACAACACTATGTCCGCCATACCAATTGTTGACCATACGTTTCGCCCAATACAGAGCTCATCAGGCCTACCGGGACAGGAAAATCATAGCTGTGATCGAAACACCATTTATAAAGGCCATTTGTTACAACAACAACTGTTATGATGTGGGTGAATGTTTTTTCTACGCTGGCTATGGAAGCATAATTATAATTAATTGTATTTGTTATAAGACATTTGTATTAGGCCTCTTACGCTACATTCTTTATTCAGTCCTTTGATTTTTTGTTTTTGTTTAAAAAGAAGATGGTACAACAGTATTTCATTCATACTGTGTCCGCCATATCCATTGCCTACGACGCGTTTCACTCAATTACAGAGCTCATTAGGCTGGCTGGGATACAATGAATACTTCTTTTTCTCTGACCAGCTATAAAACACACTATCGATGATTCTACGAGTTGGCCACGCATGGCTATTGGCCAATGGACTGCCCACACGGGGTTTAGATCGTTGTAAATGTTAGTTGCTGGAAGGACTATTTTTCGCATGAGCCTTGACTCTGGTAGCTAGGGTTCCTGTCGTTGGCCGAATTTAACCGTGCCTAGAGCATGGACATGTATTGATACCAGCAACGTTTTCGAAGGAGGAGAAAAAATATACATTCGTTTGTTCAGTTTGAAGATCACTCTCACGCTGACTTGGGGATAAGTTAATTGCAGAATGTTCTTGATTTTTTTTTTAGTTTGATGTCATGAGAACCAGTGAAAGGTAACACCAAGGTGATAGGACATCTGGGAACTTTGAAGTCTGAAATCTTCGGGTTGTAAACTTTATTAATAATATCAAAAATACTGTTGTTGATGAATGCTAGAGTAAACCATTTTTAATCAAGTATTTTTTAATATTGATCACTTCATCTTGAAAATTACAAAAAGAACTGGTAAGTTTACACTTTCACTGCTAAATTAGGGACGGCTAGCGCAGATAGCCCTCGTGTAGCTTTGCGCGAAATTCACATAAACCAAACTGAACCTCATGTACCAGATGTTGACCAGTCTGTTAACAGTGACGATATTTTTTTTTAGTTCCTTCTCTTTATTTTACGTGAAATTAACTCACATTCAGCAGCATGTGATATGAGCTTGTATAGTATATATCCCTGTGTATATATATATATATATGTCTATATATTATAGTTTTTCCTTTTATCTTTGTATATATATATGTTGGTGTACTTTGGTGACAGATTTTCTTGTAGGCAGATTTTGTTAAACAAGACCGATGTCT